AAAAAACATATATTAAAAATGCCCTAAAAACCTCCTATAATTTTAGCCCTAAAAAACCTGTAAGATGCTGGGGGGGGGACAACCCATCACCCCACCAGTCATCTCCACAGGTGCGGGCCCCCTTCTGGCCCCTAGGCCTTCTGGCAGAGCCAGGATTTGATCCCTTTCCTGAAGGCCATGGGGGAGGGGGCACACCGCACCTCAGGAGGCAGGATGTTCCATAGGGCGGGCACCGCAGCAGAAAAGGCTCTCTGCCTAGACCCCACCAATCGAAATTCCTTGACTGGTGGGGTCTGCAACCTGCCCCTTCTGCTGGACCGAGTGGGGCGGGCTGAAATGACCCATTTATAAAACTTTAAAATAAATAATAGAACCATATGTGAAGAAAGAAATGCTAAATGAACAGGGGGTATCAGAAAAGGCAGAAGGACTGCCTTAGCTAACTTAAGATGGATAATAGAGTATTACTGACTACAGCATGGCCCTTAACTACGTAGATGATGCCAGAATGTAGAACGTTTTAAGACTAATGAATGTGGCAGAATGCAGTGATTATTCTTATGAGGAATATTTATAATGAAAAAGAAGCTACTGTAAGAACTAAATTTGGAGAAATGGTTCAAATTAAGGGTGGGAGTGAAACAAAGATGTATATTTCCCCCATATTTATTTAACTTACACAGTGAATAAATTATAAGAATGGGATCAAAAGAAATCGCCATGGGAGGGAAAAACTGGTGGTTAAAAAAAAGAGTAAGGATGGGGATATGGAGACACTATTTTGCTTGTTGAAAGTAGTAAGACAGGCTAGAAGAACTAGGTGAAAAGTGAAAAATCCACAGTAATGTTAATTATTAAATGACAAAAATAATATCAGACTGCATGCTTAGTGAAATTGTCTACAACAAAGAAGAGAAGGTAGGTGCTAGTTTTATTTTCTTGTGCTCAAGAATAGATAAAGGGACAGCATGCTAGAGAAGCAGAGAAATTAATCCTAAAAGGGAAGGCAATGACAAACTTAGACAAGAACATGGAAGGAAAATTATCAGTGAGATGAGAATAGTTAAAGAATGGTCTTTCCAGCAGTGATGTACAATTGTGAAAGCTGGACACTGAGGAAGAATGAGAGAAAGATGATAGATAGCTTCAAATTAAGGATCTGTATTTGGATATTAAGAATACCATGGATTATAAGAAAACCCCATCAGGTGGCCCTGGACCAAATAAAGGCTGACTATCCTCTGCAAGAGGAAACTCCTGTACCTTGGGTATGCACTGTAACCAGAGGATGGAGTAGAGAAAATTACCACACTTGTCAAGTCTGAGGGAAGAAGACAACAATGACCCTGGATAAAGTGGGTTGATGCCATCACAGAGATTATTGAAACATCTTCAGAACTCCAGAATATTACTAAAGAGAGGTCAAGATGGTGATCGTTTCTCCATGCAGAGAAAAAGCCGAACCTGGATCAGTGTCATCTAATTGATATGGTGATGGTGATTGGTTAGACCTTTTGTGCTTTGAACTCTTGGTATTACAAAATAAATAACAGGTCCTTTTATGGTGAATAAGAACAGGAACCATGTAATGACCATCCCTTTGTGTCTTGCATGTTTTGCTTGGCAGATACCCAGGCAGAGGAAATTGTTAGATCAGAGAAATGTGTATACCAGTGTGACTCCTGTGATATAGTTTACACCAGCACCTCATATAGAAAATTGAATCTGTCTTCTCATCTAATTGTTTAGTGAGAGATGGATGTTTTGTGTATTAACATTCTATTTTTAGGATCGACTATATAAAAAGTGAAAAGTCATGCAGGTGGTATAATTACTTTACAAATGACATACCAGTATTTATGAAATAATAATTTAAACAGCATATCTGGCATATATAATCCTTGGTTTAAATACAGTATTATGAAGTTGCCAAGGGAAATTTTCAGCTTTGGCCCAACTGTACAGCAGTCAGTCTTCCCAACTTTGTGTCATTCATGTTTCAAAATGCACATGCCCAGTTCTACAGCATATATGTTCTGTTGCCAAATTATGCTATCTCTTACGTCTTGATTCATAATTATTTACCATTGGAAGGGTTTGTTGAAACTGCTAGACACAAAATATTTTTATTTGTTACTTGCTTCATTAATTCTCCCCATGCAGTATTTCTTTTCAAATATAATTGCTGGTTTCATCTTTTGTTCATACAAATAAAACCTTAAGTCAATTGGATGTCCATGGCGCTGAAACAAAATATTTTTTACTTTACTGATTTTCTTAATTTTCTTTTCTAATAACATTCTAGCACGAAAGACAAAAAAGAAAATAAAAGGAATTCAGCAATCCAGCATGCCTGCAGGAAGGGACACTGCTGAAAATCCCACAAACAAAGCTATAGTTCCTGCCTCACTGCCACAGCTGACTCCTACCCTGGTTTCCCTACTGGAAGTTATTGAGCCAGAAGTGATGTTTTCAGGCTATGACAGCACAATACCAGACACAACTTGGCGCATAATGTCAACTCTCAATATGTTAGGTGGAAGACAAGTGGTTGCTGCAGTGAAATGGGCAAAGGCAATACCAGGTAAGTCTATATGATTCCTAGGGAGGGTTGCTGTTTGTTTGTTTGTTTTTGGCAGTTTGTATTACCTTGAAGATAATTTGTGGGAGCCTCATATTAATCATAGGCAAGATCACCCTTCCATTCCTTCCTTCTTTCTCCAACAAGTCAGGGGAAGAACAGATTGCTCTTATTTAGAAAGCTGGATTCACTCTTGGGCTATTCAATGGAAGTTTGAGATTAGGCAAAGGACTGCAGGTTTCCCCCTTTCGTTTGTTAAAAAATCCTTTAAACAAAGTAATTGGTTATTAGGATTTCTCAAGAAACCATTATGATTATGAAAACAATACTTTGGTCAAGCAGTACTTCAATTATATTGTCTAGAGGATCCACTTTTTTTTAACTGAATGCCATTAAACGTTTTTTTTACATGGGCGGAGGACAATTAGTCCCTGCAGCCTTAAAACTCTTTGAGGCCAAAACATTAGCTCAAATTCTTTATGGGGCACAAACAAGAATTTAAATGAAGAAGGAACCACAAGAAACAGTGCAAACAAAATTCCTGTGATCAATTTTAGCTGCACCCAATAGAACATCTAATGCCCAATTAAGACTCGACAAAGGAATGCCATTAATTCAGGTTAGGGCCTGGAAGATGATGATAACTTCCTGGCTCAAAATCCAATTCTTCCCAGTAGGATTGACCCCTCTAGTGTTAACAAACAACTTTTCTTCACCCTGGAAGCAGGCAGTAGAGCATTAGTTGGCTTCATACGGGCTTTCTCCACCATTCTTAATACCATTAGGTTATGATCAAGCCAAGCAATTGATTAAAGAATAAGGGACATGGAGTTCCAGATTGAAATTAATAGGCTGCTCCAAGACAACAGTATCTGGATAAATGGGGGAGGGGGTATGGAAACCAGCAAGTTACTTGCAAAACCTTAACTTTTCCCAAGTTGAGAATTGCATTTTTTAAAGCTAGATCCAGTATCCTTCTATCTGTGCTTCTTCAAGGTATGTATAGTAAAATCCCTTAGCTGAGCGTGTCTGCCTATGTGGTGATGAGGAAGTTGAACTGTCTCACGTAGTATTACGTTGTAAATTTTATAGGGTCATTAGGTCAATCTACATCTTGCCCCTAATAGAGAAATTTCCCAGGACTCCAGATAACTTATGTGAACCATCTTCTTCAAGATTTAAAACCATTCATTACGTGTGCAGTAGCTAAATTTTGTGTTGCTGCAATGAAAGTAAGATAAATCCAGTTAAAGATGTAATTACCTTTGATCTAAATATTATTCTGGTTTGATGTATCTCAATAAATTGTTAGAGGGTATATATTTTTTATTTTATACTTACTAATGTTTTAGATTTATATTACCGAGGTAATAAATGTACCAATATAGTAATAGAGGACTGAATGCTATACTATTATGTGATTTATTTTGTTAGCTGTTAGTATATTATTGTACCCATTTGCTTCCCTCTCTTTCTTTCTTTCTTTTTTTTTTTCTGGTCATTGACCGAATATTATTGATCAATTGACTTTCAAACAGGTTTCAGAAACTTGCATCTGGATGACCAGATGACTCTACTGCAGTATTCGTGGATGTTTCTGATGGCTTTTGCTCTAGGTTGGAGATCATATAAACAGTCTAATGGAAGTCTACTGTGTTTTGCTCCAGATTTGATCATTAATGAGTAAGTAATACAATATTATTTAAAAATACTTTGTGTTTTTTTTAATTAGATGTTTGTTCAGTCGCTTCTAACCAGTGGATATCATTTTGCCGGTATTTGGTCTAAGATTACCTGAGTTCTGCTTCTGTCATCAGTGATCATTATCTAGCCACCTCATCTTTTATCTGCCCTTTTCTTCAATTTTTCCAAGCAAGCCTCCAAGTTTCCTCCAGTGACTCTTACTTTTGCATTATTTGTCCAAAATAGCTAACCTTTTGCTTCATCATTAACAAATAGTGAACAATTTTACTTCACTCAATATTGAGTTATTTATTCTTCTTGCTTCTTATTCAAGGTATTCTCAGTAAAACATCAGTTTCATTTATTCAACCTTTCTGATGATCCAGCTTTCACAGCCTTGTTATAACTAGGAAAACTACAGTAGGACAAATTGATGTCTGCACTTTAATAATTCCTCCTAAGTAGCAGACATTTCTTTATTTCATGACTGCAGTCATCATCCCTGTACATTTTTGAGTCTAGGAAGATCAAATCTGTGACTACTTTATATTCTTCTCCACCTGTTTGCACTGGTTGGCATTGCTTGTTGACATAGTTTTATTAATAATGAGCAGCAGATTAGCTTTTCTATTTCTTTCTCATGCCTTCAGTGAGAGATTTTTTTTTAATTATGTTTATTTATTTATTTGCTTGATTTATATAGCCACCCATCTCACTTTTACATGACTCTAGGCAGCTTACCATACAACAAAAACACAAAATATCTAATAGAAAACAAAAATAAAAACACATAGCAGCTGGGCATGATCTGATCTATCATCCATACAACCAGGAGACGGGCTGTAACCCACACCCAAGACCCCAGGCTTGAGATTTCTTAAGTGTTTCTTGCTTTTAGCCATCAAATATTCCTCCAGCTATTTTAATTCTAATTTCTGTTTCTTTTAGTCCAGCATTTCTCATGGTATGTTCAGCATATAAGTTAAATAAATAAGGTGATAGTATACAGCCTTGGCATACCCCTTTCCTAATTGTGAACCGTTTAACGCTTCATACCAAATTCTAACAGTTGCTTTATTGTCATCATTACAAATTCTTCAGTAGGCAGATGGGCTGGCCCGGTACACTCATTTTTTAAAGATTTATCCACAATTTGTTGTGATCTGCATAGTCAAAAGCTTTAGTATAATCAATGAAGCAAAAACAAATCTGTCCTTTTGTCTTTTACTCTTGGATGTTCACAACGGGGCTTTGGATGTTTCTGCCTCTTCTGAATCCAGCTTGTAAATCTGGCAGTTCTTCCATGTTTTGGTGAAATTTGGATGACAAAATCTTGAGCTTTATCTTACTAGCATGTGAGATGTTGTCTGACAGTTTGAGCCGTCTTGAGCTTTGCCCCTTTTTTTTTGGTCACACAAAATAGCCGTGGAAGAATACAGCCTACACCATGAAGATAAGGGTGATAAATACATACTGTCATTCATTTTCTGGGAGTGCTCCAGCACATTATGGTGCTTTTACTGGTGTTTTAATATATTATTGTTTTTATTCTACTGACCGTTTGCTCCCTAGATTCTTATGTTGATTGGACAGCTATATAGATCTGTACAATAAATACAGATAGTCCTCGTTTAGCAAAAGTTAAATAGTACTAATTAGTTAAATAGTACTAATAGTTAAAGAAGTTAACTAGTAAAAGTTAAATAGTAATAATGTTAAAGTAGAAAAAAAATGAAAAGATCCT